GCATTTTAATATGTTAAATATACACTCAATTATTAATTCTAAAGACTTCTACACATCAACCTAGATGAAACTTTTTTCACCTTTTTCCTGCCTTTTTTCCCCTTCTCAGAAACATTTAGACCTACCCTATGGCAATGACTATCGGGAAATCTCTGCCCTGTATATCAGGGTAGCACAAATAATTCAGCATAAAGCAGCCCATGCCTGTAGCCTAGCATTAGGATAAGTATATCTTAAGAAAGTTCTTATGCAGACTTGGCTTCAGGCAATAAAACGTCATAGACGTATAACTGTAGCGAGTGAAATTTCTAGGGAGCAAATTAGGCTGAAAACATCTTCTAGAGATGGATAGGAAGGAATCGTACACCACCCCAAAATAAGGCAAGTTATGCAGTAAATGTTTCATTTATTGGCCTTCTTCCATTACTATTAGGGTTAAAAGACATCTTGTCAATAAGAAAAGTATATTTATGGGGGACTGATGTCTTTTGGAAAGTTGTTCCTGTCACAAATGCCTATAGCAGTGGTAATCAGCTTATGAAGGCAGGTGATGAAACCCTGTACAAGTGCATACATCTCCCCATTAACCCTTGGATCATCAGGCATTATTGTCATTTTATTACCTGGGCCTGTTATTAGTTGAAGCAAGGTGATCAAGCCAGGCACTTCAGGAAAATGTCAGAACAGAAGACTGTTCCTCAGGGTTTCCAGAGGAGGGTGTCATTGGCGAGGGGGGAAAGGGATGCTTATGAAGTGGGTATCTTTACCTATCCCTGCCTCCTGCTAACACGGAAAACTCTTGGGTGTCCAATTTGTGATGTTCCTGTGTTGGCTAAGGGAGTAGTTTTCCTCAAGGTCCAAATAAAGGATCCATCACCCACGCAGAACAAAAAGCAAACAGAAAATCTCACAGTGGAATCAGGACTTTGGCTTCTAAACATTTCCCCATTTTATAGCTTCCTTATGTTTTCAGATTCTTTTTTTGGCTTCCCTCAGCACACTCCCTGCACAGATAAGTCCAACATCAGTGGGTAACAGATCATCCATCCCAGAGCCTGGATCCTTAAAGAAAAATCATGCAGGAACACAAATACACACACCCACACGTGCACATATCACTGCCAAGGGTAATTTAGGAGAATCTTGCCAAGTGATTGGGAGAGCTGAATATGGCTGTCAACATGTATTCCCCACTTCGGGTAAATCTGAGCAGATTATCCTCATTTTTCCTAAATTCTAAAGCTAAGCTTTCGATGTGGCTTGTCTTTGTTGGTGTGCCATGAACCTCGTAGCCAGGACTAGAACGTAGGGTAGTACTATGGACTCATGGACTCCTTGATTATCAAAAAGTACCTAAGGAAATATCTAGTCCAACCACCTCACCCCCTTGGTGAGACAAGACAAAGGGGCCACGGACAACATGGCCTACGGCTAGCCTATCTCTGCAGTCCCGGTTAAACACACTCCTGTGTTTCAGTGGGCACCTAACACACCACCAAAATTCTCCCATGAGGAACCAGCACCTGAGAGGTGATTTATTTATTTATTTATTTATAGACAGAGTCTCACTCTGCCACCCAGGCTAGGGTGCAGTAGTGTCCTCATAGCTCACAGCAACCTCAAACTTCTGGGCTTAAGCAATCCTCATGCCTCAGCCTCCCAAGCTGCTGGTACTACAGGCGCTCACCACAACACCCTGCTTGAAAGATGATTTATATAATCTGTAACTTCCTTTTCACATTTATCAATAGGAATAGGATGAAAAAGGAAGTCCCCCTGGGACAGGTAACCTGCCGATTAAGTTTTAAGGTAAAAGGCAGATGGCTAATATCAATATATATCCACAGGAAAAAAGTTAATCAAAGGAAGGCTGGGAATGGAGGCTGGAGGGGGAAAAACAGAGATGAAGCTGAAGGGCAGTGGAGGAAGAGGAGGAGGTGAAGGTCAGGGGGGCTGAAGGGCAGCCACTTACAGTTTGGGATTTGGGCTGGCCCCAAGGATAGGCTCCAAGGGATAAGGGCACAGCTTCTCCCCCATCCCACCCTCCTTCCACTCTGCAGAGGCCATTGTGGCAAACTCTCTTAGTTCAGGCTAAAGTCAGATCTGGTCTGGTTTCCTGTGTTTTTAGAATCTCTGCTGTTTGGGCAGAACTCTTAGTCCTATAAACCACGAGTCATCAGTATCTACAGAGAAAAGTTGCCTCAACACTTGGATATGAGCCAACAGTCATTTCCAGTTTCATACCAAATCTATAAATTACATATCCACAGCTGTCGATCCACCTGACATTTAAAAAAAATTGTATTACCTTGTGTCTTGCCAATTGCAGTTCCAGTTTTGTCCCCCATCCTCTCCCCAACTTGGGCATCACCTGCAGCCGTTCCAGAGACTCAGGGGTATCAGCTTTCTGAGCTCTTGCTGGTCTACTCACGCCTTTCTGTGGCGCTAAGCAATGAAATTAGATGTGGCACATATGCTATCATGGAATAACTTTTAATTGCTAATTAAATCAGAGATTTAAGGAAGGAAAGATTCAAAAGAGTTCCCTTCGAATGAGAAAAATAAGGACATGCCAAAATGGATGAGGTTAATAATCACTGGAAGAAAGCCTCTTAGTATTTACATATGATAAAAATGCAGACCAGTACATTAAAAACAGTAAGCACACTTTTAAAAATTTCACTTCAGTACATTTATGAGCTTTTATTATATAGGTAGTCCTATAAAGGACATAGAAGACCTCATTATGCCACTTAATTCAAATCAGGGTTCGATAAAAAAAACCTCCACCACACAGGACAAAGAAATCGCCATAAAATTGAGTCACCGTAAATATGTTCCAGTTTAAGTAAATAAGCCCCTAACATGGGCCTTAGGAAAGTCTACACTGTATATGGACAGACTTAGGCACACCAAGTACACAGGTGACAATTAGCAAGTGTGTAAAAGCTATGGTCATTTTGCTAAATGTGTAAATCTAAAGGCGACTAAATGAAAAGACCTAAAAAAGGAAACTGTTAAATCCATTTGTACATGGATTTCACAGTGAAGCATTTCATTCTTCATGTTTTCATTTGGTGTCTTGAAATAATCCCCTTTCTGTCTCCACTCTCCCTCTTAGACTCTGCGCCCGCCTTATTTATTTATGAAGTCTGAAGGTTAGTCCTACCTGCTGAGACTAATTAGCCTGGTGCTTTGTATCCTATGCAATCCTGTCTGATTAAATGTACACATTTGTTTTACTTCTTTTCAGGCTCCTTCTCACTCTACTTCTGATTTCCTGATTAATATTAAAGTTGGGAGTTACAGTGATTCTCCTCTGCCTCTCCCCCCCAACCCATTTTTATTTTGCCTGCATCTTATTCTTTAGTGTGCAAATGTGGTTGTGAATTTTTTCCAGTGCAGGGGAATTCGTTGGCCTTGTCAATCTCGGCATCATTATTTCTAGTAGTCTTCTTTCTGAGACCTTAGCCTATAAAACAGTTTTGCTGAAGCCCCAAACTCTCTAAATATTACATAGTAAATCTTCTTTCTTTTGGAAACCTAGGTGCTAGTTGGTGGCCAGCTGAAGACCAAGTGAGCTTTGTTAAGAAAAGGCAGAATAACTTAGTACATCCTGGTCTCTAGCCCAACATGGCAAACTAGGCAATTTTTTAATTCCTTATTTTTTTTCTTGGTTCTTTTTGTCACCTTTTCATGTTGTAGTGTCCAGTCCACTGTCCATTGGGTATCTGCCAGAAAATGAACACTCTTCCTCCATCCTTTGAAACTATGTTTTGGGACCTGGGCCTTTCCCCTTTAGCATAATTTTCTTCCCCATTTTGTAGCAAATCAATCTACTCCCCAGGGGTCTGTACCTAAAAGTCAACAAATACCTGCCTCAAGCCTCAGGTTTTCCATTACCCCCCCGTCCTCCAGCATGGGTTTTGGTTAGCAATTTCCTGCCAGAGCCATCTACATCTTGATTATTTGATCAGTCTTCAGACCCCCTTCCAGAAGGGCTCCAGCACAACTGATCCCAGGGGATAGTGAACTTTCAGTTTTATTTTCGCCCATCGGTGTTAACGCCCAAACTTTTCACCTCCAAAGTCAGAAAGGACTTTGAATTCTAGCTCGTTTCCTACCACCTCCGACGTCAGTTAAAAAAAAAGAACAGCACGCTACATTTAAAAGAATCATATAAAGTATTTCCTTAAGGATATTTTTAATGCCCCAAACAAACACAGCATTTGATTGTTTTTTGGATAAAAAGTCATCTTGGCATATTTATCCTAGCGAGACTTAACATTTAATGAAATGATGCACTATTAATAAGAAAAAAGAAAGAAAAAAAAAAGGAGGGTGAAGACCTCGTGGGTCACTAGTTTCTTTACCGTGAGATGACCGGGAACTTTGCCCAGCCCTTCACTTCCCCAAGCTCTCGGGAAGTGGAGGGTTGATCTTTTGCTTTTGACCACTTCTGCCGCATCCCGCCTAAGAGTGGCCGATTTCACTGCTGGATTAACCACTAAGCACCCCTCGTCCTTTCCCACAACACTTCCCTCCTTTTCCCCTTCTTTGAGACTTATTTCTAATATTTCTCAAGTGCACTTTTTCAGGGCCTCCAACATCCCCGCCCCCCAAGTGGGCTTTCCTTCCGCCTTCCACGGCTCGGATTCCTGACTCCGTTGGTCGCCACCCCCTTTCCCTCCTCTTCCAGTCCGCATTGTCTTTCTGAAACCGCCCCCCTCCCGGAGCGAGTCCCTGCACCCTCGCCCAGACTCCCGGGCTCGCCCGCACTGCGCGCAGGCCGCTCCCCTTGCACACTCCTCCCTCCGGCTCCCCCTCCCTCCCCGCCCCTCTCCTCCTCCTCTTCTCCCTCCTCCCTCTCCCGGCGCCCTAAAGGATCATTGTTAGCCGCCCCCGCCCCGCCCACCCGGGCTGTTTATTTATGCACACGTCACCGGGACGGCCCCGCCCCCGGCATCTCATTAAGGCGAGTGTGTTCCTCTCGCCCTGTCAATAATCTCCGCTCCCAGACTACTCCGTTCCTCCGGATTTCGATCCCCCTTTTTCTATCTGTCAATCAGCGCCGCCTTTGAACTGAAAAGCTCTCAGTCTAACTTCAACTCACTCAAATCCGAGCGGCACGAGCACCTCCTGTATCTTCGGCTTCCCCCCCCTTTGCTCTTTATATCTGACTTCTTGTTGTTGTTGGTGTTTTTTTTACCCCCCTTTTTTTATTTATTATTTTTTTGCACATTGATCGGATCCTTGGGAACGAGAGAAAAAAGAAACCCAAACTCACGCGTGCAGAAGATCTTCCCCCCCCTTCCCCTCCCCTCCTCCCTCTTTTCCCCTCCCCAGGAGAAAAAGACCCCCAAGCAGAAAAAAAAGTTCACCTTGGACTCGTCTTTTTCTTGCAATATTTTTTGGGGGGACAAAACTTTTTGGGGGTGATTTTTTTTTTTTTTTGGCTTTTCTTCCTCCTTCATTTTTCTTCCAAAATTGCTGCTGGTGGGTGAAAAAAAAATGCCGCAGCTGAACGGCGGTGGAGGGGATGACCTAGGCGCCAACGACGAACTGATCTCCTTCAAAGACGAAGGCGAACAGGAGGAGAAGAGCTCCGAAAACTCCTCGGCAGAGAGGGATTTAGCTGATGTCAAATCGTCTCTAGTCAATGAATCAGAAACGAATCAAAACAGCTCCTCCGATTCCGAGGTAGGAAAAGCCCCCCGGGCTGGTGGGGGTTTTTAATCTATTTCCTGAGCCTGGCAAACGTTGCAGAAAGGGGAGAAATCGGGGCTGGGGGCGGCGGCGGGGCCCGGCCGGCAGCGTGTGCGTGCGGGGCCACCATTGCAAAAACTTGTAACCCTGTTTTCTCTCCCCCCCACCCCGCTGATTCTCTTTCTCCCCCTTCTGCCTGGCGTTTGCCCCCTCGCCCTCCCCTCTTCCACCCCTCCGGGAAGGCGGAAAGACGGCCTCCGCCTCGCTCCGAAAGTTTCCGAGATAAATCCCGGGAAAGTTTGGAAGAAGGTGAGTATGCCCCGCGCGCCCCGCAGCCGCCCGGAGCTGCCCCCTCGGGCCGGCAGCCCCGCGCGCCCCGGCCTCGCGCCCCGCTCGGCCTGGCCGTGCGCCGGCCCTGCCGGGGCGCCCGGCCCGGTGGGGCTGTTTCTAAACTGTTTCTCTTCGCTTTCTCCCGCTCCGCGCGGCCGCCGCCGTCCCCTCGCCGCCCCGCCATGTTAGCGGCCAAGAGGCAAGATGGAGGGCTCTTTAAGGGGCCACCGTATCCCGGCTACCCCTTCATCATGATCCCCGACCTGACGAGCCCCTACCTCCCCAACGGATCGCTCTCGCCCACCGCCCGAACCGTAAGTGCCTCCGCGCCCGGCCCCCGCCCGCTGCCCGCCCGGCCCCCGCATGCGGCCCCTGCCCTGCCCCCTCCCCGCCCCCCGCCTCCTCCCCTCCCTCCCCTCCCCCGCTCGTGGCCCAGGCAGCCCGAAACTCTCCAAACTTTTCTGCCTTTTGTGGACTGGATTTGTTTGCACTTCGCCATGTTCTTGCTTTCAGTTTGCTGCCTCGTGATGTTGGGGAGACCTTTCTTTCCAAGCAGAGCTTTGTTGGGGGAAAAAAAATCAGAAGAACTTTTTTGCGCTCTGATTCCCCCCGCCCCCTTTGGTGGTGGTTGTTTCTTCACCCTGGGAAGATGACTGTGTGGCTCTTTCTTTGCTCCCTCTCGCTCTTCCTCTCTCTCTTCCTTTCCTCTTCTGTGGCGTCTTGGGCTTTCCCCGGTTAACCCCTTGGCTGCCGCTGCGGGGCACTGAGTGACTGGGCTGCGCCCGGCGCGCGGGGTAGGGAGTGGATTTTCCTTCAGGCTTTGGACTTGGGAGCTGGCGAGCGCACAGAGCCGGGGGCCCTGCAGAAGTGCCTCGGCTTTCTCTTAAGGGAGGCTATTTATTTCGCCTTTTAGTGGCGGTCACTGGCCCTCGGCCCTCTTTCTCCCTTCTCCTGGAAGGTCAAACTTCCCAGGCTGGTCCCACTGCAAACTTGGGGGTTCTCAGGCGTCCTTTTCTTTGGCAACCCCGCAGGACGGCGGGAGCCCTGGGCGCTGTGGCGGGCTCGGCTGCCTGGCGCGCACTTTCTGCTGCGGGCTCTCCCGGGCCTGTCCGGGTGGCAGGGCTGTGCGGGGTGGGGAGGCCCCCGTGGCCCGGCTTCTTGGTTTGTGTGTAGATTCAAGGGCCTCCTCTGAGCGGACTTGATGCATTTCTAGGGAATTTTGGCGCCTTGGGGTGTATAGCCGGGTCTGCGCTCGCCAGCTTCCGAGTAGGCCCTGAGTGGGCCCTGGGGGACCAGAGACCAGGGTGTGAGGGCTAAAGGAGGTCCTGGGGGCGAGGGAGGCCTGGGGCGCCTCTCCATGAAGGGAGTGGGCCTCTGATCACCGGGCTCCCAACTTTGGGGACCCCAGGGCGGCGCGGGGTGTCAGGCTCCGGGGGGCGCTTCCTGCAGCGTGCGCCCCGCGCCCACCCCTGACATTTGTTAATGTGGCTCGTCCCCTTCCCCCACTGGCCTCTGCCCCCTGCCCTCACCCTGAACCCCCTCCTTCCCGTCCCGCTGTCCTTCCCCTGCTCTGAAAAGACTGAATTGAGTCTCTGCACTCCAGACGCGTTTGTGCCTGGCTTCCCGGGATTGTCATTTTGCACCTTCCCTGTGTCCCTACCACTTATTTACACACACCACTTTTGTTTTTTCTTTTTCGGTAACTTGAGGTAGTAATTTGAAATAATGCACCTACTGTTCAGCAGCCGTGGATTCGGTGCTAATGGCCGAGGGGCTTGCCGGACAGGAGTCGATCAGATCTACAAGTGTTTTTAAGCATTAAAATATTAACTATCAGGTTTAACTTGTTTTTTGGGGCCCTGGCAAAATGGCAAGAGCATGCTAGACCGGTCATTTTTTTATGGCTAGGAAGGAGAAATAATTATTCCCCCCCACCCCTCACCCCGCCTCCCCAGCGCCCAGGCTTCTGCGTGCTTGGGAAGCTGTGGAGCGCTTCGGCCCGATCCCCTCCTGCAGGGCCAGCTCTTTCGGGCTGCAGCGGCCGGGCGTTGGGCTTGCAGCTGTAGGGGAAGCACAGTCCTGTTTGTATTTTTCTTGAAAGCTTATGGGGCATCTTAAACCGGACTATTGGGCTCGAAATCGGAGTGTTCCGTGTACTAACAAACCCGACCGAGCAACATTCCAAAGAAACACTGAGAATTTCTCCCTCTCTCCTCCCCTCCCTCCCATACGACGGAAACCCTCCCTGGTATCATTTTAAAATCCACTTAGCCATCTAAAAGGCCATCTGAATATTGAGCTTTGATGGCGGTTTTCTCGACTGTTCAAACTCCCTGTCTCGACGCTGGCAGTCTTGCTGCTCCTTCTAAAACTTGAGCAGTTGTGTTGTGCTGTAATTAGGAAACAGGGAAATTGTTAAAGGCAAATAAATGATTTCCCGGAGCGAAAAGGAAGGCTCCCAAGGATCGGGCCCCTTTTGTGGGCATTACAGGAATAGAGGGCATCTAGTTATTTTAATTGTGGACGTAGCGGGTGGCCTTGTGCTGTGACATCAGATGGAGTCTGAGGAGACATTTCTGAACTCAGTAGGCAGTTTTAGTATTTACATGTCAAACACCAGCAGACATCTTTGTGTACACTGCCCCTTCCTCCTTCTCTGTTACCTGGGTTAGATTATGCACTCCAAAATTGAAGTTATTTATTTAGGCTGGTCAGCAGAGCAATGGAAATGAGGTCGGTAGGCTGTTGTGTGTCACTCCTGACGTCCTGGATCAGAGAGCCGGCTTGCAATTCCAGATTTGATACAGCTGCTGGAGCAATCTATAGGCAAGATAGCGGTCTTTCCAAGCTCATCAGAAATTCTTAGTGCTTTATAGTGTCTGTTTTTGAGGGCAAGGTGTGAAGACAAATTAGCTGTATGTTTTATTCTTTTCCGGTTGCTTCTTGGTGGTGCTTTTTGCTACATTTTCTGTTACTTATGAATGTACCTGTGAGCCTCTGCATCCTTTAAAAAGCAAACTCTCTAGAACCCACATTTCTTCTGCTTTTCTATTTAAGAATGTAAAGAATTAAGGAGTATCATTAAATCGGCTTATGATGAATAATACATTATCTCAAGAATAATGCTTTAATTGCTGAAGACGCCATAAAGCTTGATAGTAATAATTTTATTTTAAAACGACAAAGATGTCTGCATAACATTAATTTAGCCTTTGATACAGTAATAGGAATGGCTTTTAGAAAGACAGATTCAGATACAAAAATGCATTAAGTAAGGAGAGATCTACTGAAGTAGATGGGAAGTGTTAGAACTGCAAATATTAGAATTGTGGTAACCTTTGTATACTAAAGGTAAGTTGCTACGAGAAAGTAGTTTTACGGTTCTTTTTCCTCCTGGCAAACATAGGAATATGGTAGCTGCAATTCCAGTTAGGTTTGAAATTTCATTTTAAGGGATTGATTATTAGAGCCCTTGCATTTTCTTTTATCCAAAGTCATTTGCTTTTCAACTGTGCTATTTGCTACTAGGTCGAACAGATAAATAAGCAGCATCTTGAATTCATTTTTGAACTTGGAATCCAGCATTTTAAAGGAAATCAAGAGGGGCCTATTCTTTGGGGTTTTATTTAGCCAGGCAACTTCTCTTTCTGGTTTGTGAAAATGGATGTTTTCTGGTCACTCACACAACATAATCCTTTCTAATACAAAAGATTTAGACCTTGGAGTGTGAAGGGTTAATGGTGGTCCCTCCCTGTTGTCCTCCCACCCCCCACCTCACTCTTGATTGTTTTGACAACACTTTTCAAAGTGTGACATTCCAAGCCCCTACATAACAATGTAATATTACTGTAATTACACAGGTCATTACATTTTAAATAGAGAACAATAAAATGCTTATCGCCCTGAAAAAGAACAGGTGTTCTTGCCCTTCTTTGGTATTTATGCTAATTGTTTTTCATCTCCTTCAGAAATATTTATGGCGAGCTTGTTTAGATTTCAGTCTCAGAGCACCAGTTTTAATTCCGTGCTCATCTTTATAGGTTGTGATTTCATGTCTGCAGTATGGATTATGTGTTCAACATTCACCCAGATAAGTCGTACTTTAATGATTATAGATTTAATATGCCAGCCCTTTCCAGTTTATTGATACGGAAGCTTGCTGAAGCCCCAGACACAAACTCCTAGGCAGTTGGGAGCCTAAAGTGCTTTATCTGGAAGAAGTGTTTTTGGAAACTTCTGACTTGCTTAAAGGAAGTAACTTTGACTGATGTCCCTTATCTCTGATTTAGAAAAGATTTTGAAGAAAACATGCCCCCCCCTCCTTAATAGGAGGTTTTCACTTTGGTTTTAATTTTACTGATAGAGATTTCATGTAGAGTCACTGCTGGAAGTTGGTCAGCTTTCTATTTCTCAGCAAGCTGTGAAAAAGTTACAGGAAGGTTTCCCGGGCCTTGCTGATCAAGAAGGCTGTTCTGTTTCGCAGCGCTGCTTCACTGCAATTCTACACGCCATTAAAAAGAAAAAATACTTGGTTTAGAAAACTAGCATTTTAATATTTGCACCAGGGGCTGCCCTTTTGAAGATTATAGTAGAAGTCTTTCCAGGTTCTGAATGCCTCCTTTACATCGCATGAGGTGCCTGGGTGTGTGCAGAAAGTGCCTAGATTTCTTGGTGTGGAAATTCTGGTGCAACTTCTCCTACACTCGCGCAGTGGGTAAACTAGAAGGTATCTAAGAGGATTTTACATTTTGTCAGCGGTTTCACAACAGCCCCCCCCCCCCCGAATCACATTAAATATGCACTGTAGAGAAAGGACAGCTGCAGATTTTTCTGTGGACGCGTGTTTCTGGACCATGACTAAAACTCCGAGGACCTTTTCCCCAGCTGTCTGGAAGTTATGTGGAAGTTGGTTTATTGGCAGTTAAGTATGAGACAACCTGGATTTAGCAAATGCTCTCTCCTACACAGGAAGTAGATGACATTATATTGGGGGAAGGGAGGAGACTTCAGGCAAGGAGTGATTTACTATTTTTTTTTTTTTTTTTGTAAATCATGATGTTGCCAAATAAATAAGTACTTTCCAAGGAAGTAGGTGTAAGCTTTTTAGTTTTGGTGAGTGGAACTAGATAGTATCTTTGACCACATTTATAACTCTTTTGAGGTGACACATTTCAAAGTTTTGAAAAGGAGGGTGGACCAGATTCTCAAGGGTTTTATTTTTGAAGGGATGTGTGATGTGGGCATCTGAGTTTCTTCTGGGAGTGAATTTTGGCAACCCTGTAAGTAAATCTTCAACTCTGACTTATAATTGAGC